AAAAATTTCTGAACACAACACTTTTATTTATCCATGTGATTATGTACGTCCAGCATGAAATGTATACTGTATACCAATTTAATGTCTCAATGATTGCGGGTTAAAAAAAAAAAAAAGAATAATTGATTCTACGTGTTCTGCTTTCTGCATAGCAGGCAGAAACTCGCCTTATGCAAAATTTTGCGCAGATTTCTCTACTCCTATGATAAAGGGAAGGAAAAAAAAAAATTTTTTTTCCAATACTTGAGATGAATAATAAACCTGATTCGTCGCTGCCTGAATTCCATTTCATATAATAAATATCCGCAAAAAGCAGGATAAAAGAATAACATACGACGAATATCTTCTTTCCAATTTATCAAGACTTTATGTTACATTTTTTATTTGGATTATTTCACTTCGGATCTTTATATTTGATTCAATTTTTTTTTTTTTTGAAATGACAACCGTCGCAACGATGCCTAACAGCGAAGAAAATCTAGCAAATAACAATAGGTTCAATAAACAGTTGGTATCGTTATTCTTGGGATTGTCATAAAATAGTGAAGAGTGGAAAAGAGAATTCAAATTTAATTTGGCATACAAAATTTTTTTGCAGGAAAATTTCGTGTGGTATATAAGGTCGCAAACTTTACCGTGTCATGATTGGCGATGTACTGTATATTAATACCATGATTGCGAATTCCTATCTCTTAGAGTATTGGCTTAAATATTAATTCGGATTTGTGTAGTATATTCATATAGGCTTATTGCATTCTGCTTTTTTGTATAATTAAACCAATCAATTAAAATTTTAATGGCGATAATCCTTTGATGGATTATGATAAATCGTATGGCCTCGAATTATTTCCAATTAAAATATCAAAGTATATAGTTCTCCGTTAATACAAAGGAAGAATTTCACCATTTTGCTAGCATGACTTATTACATTGGTGAAAACTTTACTACCATTACCATTGTATGTATTTAATTTGGACGACAAGATAAGATTTTGCGCTGTCTGATGTTAGACCCAGAAACAGTTTTCTAGGATTAGAGGTGAGGTTACATCAAGCCTATTTATTGACTCTATTAATTATTAAGTGACATATCAACACAATTATTAACAAATTAGTTTCATGAATTTTTATTAAAACCTACAAAAAATTTACGACCGCGAACCCTCCGTGTTAAATTTTTCATATTTAATCCTGGTATCAAATTCATATGGTCTACTATATTGCCAATAATACATCCTGCGACATTGCCTCCCACTTCTAGTTTTCACCTCTTCACTGATCTTTCTCCACAACTCTTCGTACTCTGCCAGTTCATATTTTTTCCATTCACCTGCATATTTATCCAATGCCTCCTCAAACTTCTCCAACTCTTCGTTCGTCCATGTTCCAACATTCGTCAACGGTTTATCACTCTTCGGGTTCAAACTTCCGTACTGTTTAAAATTGTGCTTCAGCTCTTCTAATGTCCGATCCGGAAACCTCTCCTTAATTTTACTCCAGGAGTCCTCGTTTTCGTCTCCAAATTCTTTCAACGCCTCGTGAAGCCTAGCGGTTTCCTCAGGTGTCCACGTCTTTGATGTGATCCATGTGTACCGATAACTTACGGCATTATAAGGCCTTCCTAATATTTCTGATAATTTATTCCAATCTTTGCCGTGAGTTTTTACCAGTTCCAACAAAAGGCAATCTTCTTCCTCCGTCCAGCGTAATTTAGGCTTCTTATTTGGGTCGAATGCATGTGATAATGTTCCCCTTGTTTTTTTACTGCCGGAAGGTTTTCGAGCTTCGGAAGGGGAAGGTGGCTGAGGTGATGCCCAACGACCTGTCGAAGTACGTGATATGGAAGCCAATAGACCCTTTTTATTTTGAATTCCGGGTCTTTTGTTATCGATTTGACTCGCTTCCCTCTCTATTCGACTTGATCTATCCACTCTATTGTAAGATAAATTTTTTATATTGCATTCTTTCTTCCTGGTATCATCCGATATCGATATCTTATAATTGAAGTCACCCTTACAATCAGGGTCACTTGAATCCCTCCTGGTAATTTCTTTCGGTCTTCGAGATTTAACACCGTCGTCTAATTTGTTAACTTCATCAGATTTCAATAATCTATAATTTGATTTAACTTCTTTCCAACTATTCAATGTTGATCGGGGAAACGGGATTTCATTCGAATTTTCTGATTTTTTCCATCTGGAATTTGCACATGACGGTCTGTTATCCATTGATTTATTTTTCTGAAATAGTACATCTTTTCTCATTGGCATTGTGTTTGATGATTTTTCGCTATGACCACTTCGGCCTCCCGACGGCAAATTCTTGTCTTTATTGAAACTGTGCGATTTAGGTCCATTT